CCTTCCTCCCCACCATGCTGTGAAATACAAGACTTTATTCCTCCTACCCAACTCTGTTTGGGTACCAGTATCCAAACCTTCCAGTGTCCTCCTTCTCCCCTACCTTTCCTAGCCTCTTGTAATCACTATTATAACTTCCAATCAACATTTTAAAAAAACATTCACACGAGAGAGGACAGGCAGAATTTGTCTGTGTCTGACATAATGTCCTCTAGTCCCATGCATTTTGCTGCAAATGATGGAATATCATTCTCTTATGGCAGAGTAATATTTCATTGCCACATTTTCTTTATCCATTCATCCATGGGTGAGCACCTAGGTTGATTTCATATCTCAGCTATTGTGAATAGTGAAGCAATAAACATGGGTGTGCAGATATCCCTTTGCTAGGCTGATATTTTATTTCCTTCAGCTATGTACCTTGAAATGGGATACTTGGATCATGGAGTCGGTCTGTTTTTAGTTTCTTGAGAAAACTCTGTCCTATTGTCCACAGTGGCTGTACTAATTTATGTTCCTGCTGGTCTTAGTTTCCTATGTATCATTCCAGAGTTCTTATTGTTTAATCACCAGTATAGATTCTGACTTTCTTCTTTTTCATGCAGTGGACAGCATATCATTACTTTTGTTGTTTGCTTTTTCACGTAACAATATGTCTTGAAGATTTTCCATATAAGTTCATAGTGAACTGTCCTATTATTTTTATAGTGTCTAGCACCTATTGTATCAATGTGCTATACATGATGACCATTTAGGGTTTCCCTTGTATTTGTTCTTACAATCTAATAATCCCCAGTGTTTTAAATAAATTTACCTGGCCACCTTAATTCCCACACTCCCACCTGCTGTTTAATGCTGAGATTTGGAGACTACTGTCTTATTCTTTCTCCCTGTTCTGAAAAACCACTAGCACTACTGGATAATGAATTTGGGAAGTAGTTCTTTTTCCATGGGGGAAAACTGTGTGCCCTGTGGATACTAAGCTGCTTTCCCTCCTCCACCCTGATTCCTGACTTTCTTTGGCATGGCAGCAGCCTTTTCAGCCCCCACAGTTTTCTTGCTCCCACATTCCAGGGGCTCTAGAACACAGCAGAGCCAAGAGAGATGCCCAGGTCTGGGGAGGCTGGGAAGGCCAGAAGCATTTTTCTACCGGTAGGCTCCAGGAGGAGGGGTCGGGGCCCACGGGTTCCTTTTCAGCAGGAGTGCTCTGCATATACTCAGTGCTGGCTTTTAGGTCCTTTTTTGCCCCATTGGACTCCTATTGAATGTAGTTTGGTGCCTGCTGGGCCTCTGGTTGGTACCCACTGAACATGTGGCATCCATGATGTGCAGAAGGCCCTGTCCTCAAAGCCTGTGCCTCAGTCTTCATCTCCAGACCGAATAGGTCAGAGTCAGGGCCCTCTAGATCTGAGATTCTCTGAGTAAGGCCACTGGGGCTTTATTCTCTATATTTGGTGAGATCAATGGGTGAACAAAGAGTGGTCTTCAAGTACCCTGTGACCAAGCCTTGAACTGTTCCATCCTCCTCAGAGAGCCCTTCCTTGGTGCTCCTAGCCTGTCCTCTGTGAGCAGTGCTTGCTCCATACCCACTAGTGGGAGGCTCTGTGTCTACCTGACTGAGCTTTGAGACAGGCAGACTGCAGCCTTTCCTCCTAGGGGAGTGGAGGCTGGTGCAGCCACTTGGCACCACTAAGGGACTGGCCACAGGATCTGGGCAGGGGTGGGTGTTGGAGGATGTATTTTGTGGCCCAAAATGAGATCTCAGGGAGGAAATAACAAGCACTCAATCCTGACGCGGTCTCTGGGGCAGCCCAGAGGTGCCTGGGCTGACAGGGGTGGGGCGGGTGCTTCCTTCTGCATTTCCTCCCATTGTTCCCCCTGCCCTGCTTCCGAGAATTCTCCTGGGATTGGGCTGGGCAGGTGGGGCTGCTAGCTAGGGAGGCCGAGGACACTGGCTTTGCTCTGGGCCTCTGTCTTCAGCTCCCAAACTGGAGCTAGCCGCTATGTGTAGGTATGGTCCACCAGGCCTTTTGTTTGTCCCCTCTGCTCTTGTTACCGGCCCTGGCCTCCCAGGCCTCAAAGTTAGAAGCCTCAGAGCTGTGAGATTGTCCAGGAAATCTGGAGAGGCCTGGGGCTGACTGCTCCATCCACCTGCTTGAATGAGTCACCCAGATCTGCTGCCCCAGTTTACCCATGAAGGCCAGGGTGACTGGGATTTCTGGTGTCCCATGGACTCATGGTCCTCCACCCCTACTCTCTGGTCTTTTTGACATTGCCTGGGTCCTGAGGACACTTGTCAGTATCCTGGTCTATAAGATAAAAACTCCAAGGAGCTCTGCTTAGTAAGCTATGATACAAAGCCCACTCCACGATTCCAGGGAATATAGTACAAAGCACATTCTAGAAAATATGACCTATTGTGAGGAGTCTTAGAACCCTGATATGAATATGAGTAAGGACCCTCTCTTTAGCCCCCCTTCCCTTTTTTTAAAGAAATATGAGAGAAGTTGATCTTGAACACATGCCATGTTATTGTCTTCCTAGCAAGGGAAACTGCAGGGGACCCAGAGTGTGCCTGCTCTACGAGGGATGGAAATAGATGAAAATAGATGGATTTTATTGTTGAGAAGCTTATACAAGAGGGCAGTTTTTAATTTTTGTGTATGTGGTAAAATATGCATAACAAAATCTAGCATTTAATCTTTAAATGTACAGTTCAGTGGCATTTATCAGCAGCCATCACTTCCTTCCATCTCCAAAATTTTTTCATCTTTTTTTTTGAGACAGCCTTGCTGTGTAGTTCAGGTTGGCCTTGAACTCACTATGCAGCCCAGGCCAGCCTCTAACTTATGGCAGTCTTCCTGCCTCAGCCTCCCGAGTGCTGGGATTATAGGTGTGTACCACCATATCTGGTCCATCTTCTAAACTAAAAGTCTGCACCCATGAAACAGTAACACCCCATTGCCCTCTCAGACCCCAGCAACCATCATTCTACTTTCTGTGTCCATGAATTTGACTACTATAGGTACCTTATTTAAGTGGAACCATACAATATTCATCCTTTTGTATTTAGCTTATTTCACCTAGCATGAGGTCTCCCAGGTTAACCCTGTTGTAGCATGTGTCAAAATTTCCTTTAAGACTGAGTAATATTCTATTGTATGCAACATTACAAAATGTTTATCCATCTGTCCATTCAACTTGGGGTGCTTCTACCCTTAGCTATTGTGAATAATACTACAAACATTGGTATGGAAACATCTGAGTCCCTGATTTCAATTCTTTTGGACATATCCGTTTACCTATAAAATTTCTTAATGCACTGGGCCACATCCTTAGCCTTTTAAAATTTTTGCTCAAACTGGCCTCAAACTTGCCTCAGTCCCATGGAATTCTGGGATTACAGGCATGTACCACCACACTCGGCTTTAACTTTTGAAAGGATCTTCCATACTGTTTTCTATAATGGCTACTCTGTTTCCCATTCCCACCATAAGGGTTCCAATTTATTCACATTTTAGCCAACACTTGTTATTCTCTCTTTATAATAGTCATCCTAATGGATATCAAGTGGCATCTCATTGTAACCAGTTTTCAAAATCAGCTAATTAGGTCAAGATTGTAGTTTTACTTCATAGAGTCATTGTCTTAGTTACTTTTCTTTTGTTGCTGAGACAAAATACCCAACACCCAAAGTTAAAGGGGGAAAGGTTTATTTGGTTTACAGTTCATAGAGGTTTCAGTCCATAATTGGCTGGCTCCAAGGCAGGGTGGCACATGGCAGAGGGGCCACGGTTCATGGTGGCAGAAGACAGCAAAAGCAATAAGGGACAGTAAACAGCATCTTTCTGCCCCTTTTATCCCATCCAGACTACTGGATGGGATTAGGGCAGTGCCAGACCGATCACTCACGTGCAGTAGTTTACTAATCACAAACCCTTAAACCCAGCATCACACATTCCAGATTCAGCCACCTCTGGAAAATAAAGTCCCACCTCATCCTCATGAGGCTTTGAGGGGACATCTAAACACAAGCCATGACAGTCATAAAAACCCATATTCAAATCAGTTGATACAGAGACCAGAAAAAGTTTTATCCTAGATACCAGGTTTGGTTTATCTGTAGGGGGCAGGGGAGAAGCAAGCGATAAGTGTATGTCTGTGGCTGTTTGTCAGATTAATGAGGCTTCATGGCCTGAGAATACTGTGCAGGATGGGCCTGGTTCCCAGGGAAGCAAGCTGAGCCAGAGGCAGACAGCAGCTGACAAGGTCTAGTTATGCAGGCCCCTTGCTGCCATGGGTTTCCTGCTGCCACTGCAGAGGCATAGAGTACATGGTGCACACGTTTTTTTAGCTCAGGGAACACAACTTAACAGAGTTCTTTGAAGGGTCCTGTGCTGGTTGTTGTGCTGGTGGCCCACTCTTTCTCCATAGCCCATCAGTGAGAAGTGTGCCTCCAGCTGTGAGTGCTCTTGACTATCCTGGGCCTTGGGGTGGGGCCTGCCTCCCCAGCCCCAGTGTTCTATGTTTCACTCAAAATCACTGCAGCTGAGTCCTGGGAAACCATTGTAGACAGTGTGGATGGATGTGGGTTATAGGAACTGCTGAGGCTCAGGAGCAATGCAGGTGAAATGATGGAGAAGCAACCCCTGCCTTCTGAGGATGCTATCCTGGTACACTAAGTCTGATGGGAAGCAGCTCTTATATCTGAGGAGTCACAGCCGGGCCTCTGGGGTGGAGCAGAAAGAGGCTAAGGTTGACCTTGGGGAACTGTAGGTGTCTTTCAGCCCGCTTTTATGTCCAGGTGTTTCCCAGGGGCCTGACTCTCCAGGATGGTGGCTGTGGTGCCTGGGGTGGTGGAGATCTAGAAAGGTCCCAGGTGCTTGGTGGTCTAGGCAGATCAGTGTTGTCTATGTAATGGTGGTGGTAAGGGGTCTGGTGGGAGAAGAACCAGGGCACATTAAGCTAGTTTTCTACATTTGACTTCTCTATCTTTTCAGGTTCCTTGGGGAAGCCAAGGTCCCACTCCGGGAGGTCCTCGCTACCTCCAGTCTGTCAGCCAGCTTCAATGCCCCCTTGCTGGATACCAAACAGCAGCCCACCGGTGTAAGTACCATTGCCCCCTGCATTCAGCCAGTTTCTGGTCTGAGACGTTGCCTAGTGCCCCCAAACCTGGCCTTGACTTTCTGACCGTAGAGATATGTCAAAATCTAGCTTCCAGGAGCTAAGCCTGACCCTCCTTGGCCAGATCTCAGGGTACCAGGAGGGATACTAGGCCAGAAGAGTAGGGAGTTGTGACCCACAGCAGAGCTCAAGTCAGCCTTACCTCCGTACATGGTGGCCTGTCTCTTGGTCTTGTCCTGCCCACCTGGCTACCTCCTGTCACAAATTTTTCAGTCAGCCTTGCCTATGGTTTTCCTAATCTCCCTCCTCCCTGGAGGACTTCCCTTCCTCACTGCCCAGCCCCCTTCTCTAGATTGGGAATATCTGAGTCATTTGGATCTCAGATCGCAAAGGGAGGGAGACAGATAGCCCTCCCCTGTCAAAAAGGGCCTGTCAGACCCTCTTCCTTTTCCGCCATTGTCTTTCCTGTCCCTCTCCCACCCTTCTCAAGTCCAAGCAATCAATTCCAAGCCCTCATGCCTGGCCTCCTGTTATTTTTAGTGAGCTAAATATAACCTGCAAGGCTCTTTCTTCCTGAGCAATAGAATTCCTGTCCTTCCCTCTGGGTCTGCCCCACCACCCAGGATGCCCTGGGGGGATCATTGATCTGGAAATACTTCCTCTCAGTGAGGCCTGGGAAGTTCTAGGCCCTGAAAGCTCTCAGAAAGATTGGGTGTTTGTGGGGAGAGGCAAGAGGAGCTGGGCCTGTGACATGTTGAATGAGTCATTAAGAGGCCAGTCTGGACCATGCCAAATGGAACCGTACTGGGCACTAAGACCTGGGGAAAGGGAGCATCTTGGGTCACCAGTGAATGTGAATAGGTACTCAAATAGGGACTTGACACAGGGGAGTGTCTCCAAATTCTTAGGGTATAAGGGACTCAGATGGGCTTCTGGTCTGCTGACCTCTCAGTTCTGAAATGTGCTCCCAAGCAGTCTGAGGCCACTGATGACTAGGTCATTTCCTTGACAGGGAACTGTCACTTCCCACAAGAATCTCTTCTTATCTGAGACAGCGCTCACTGGCAGGACATTCTGGTTCAGTCTAGTGTTCTTAGAGTCTGTCTCTATCACTTCTGAGTCCCCTCTTATCCTCCCTCCAAGTTCTCTACTCTCCTAATACTGCCTGTAGTCAGGAGGTTCTAAGGACTCCCAGAATTTCCCTTCCAGGGGATCTTGAAGAGAGAGGGTCCTAGAACACCCTGGAGGAAACATAGGCATCAAGTCAGCTGCAGAGAAAGGCTCTTAGAATCAGTGACTTGCTTGGTGCTTTTCTATCACACTTCCGGATGTGATCTCAACACCTCCAACATGGTTTCTCACTTCACTACTGAGACATTGACCTCTCTCCACTCCAGTCCTTGTGCCTGTACACTGGTGTTTCCTGCACATGCTCCTCTCTAAGCTCAAAGTCTCATCCAGCCCCTGAGCCTTCCATACCTGGTTCATGGTGCTGAGCCATGCTGACAACTATGCATCTTTCCTTTCCCTCTTTTGCCCACACTCTATCTGGGTTTCACACCAGCTGGGAGCTGCTGCCTTCTCTCCTCTGGCTGGGACCTCTGGTTGTCTGCAAAGATTGACAGTCTTTCACCATCCATGTCTCCAGGAGTGGTGCATGAGAGCCAGGAGGTGATGAATGGGGAAGGAGGGCTGGACCCTGCTCAGTGAACTCCAAGATGGGCATAGACAGGGAGAAGGTCCTCACCTGTAGAGATGGCCCAAGGCCAGGCTCTAGTACCTGTGACAGCACCAAAGTTACAGTGCAGCACTAAAAAGGTTGTAAGAGCCTCTGAGCTGGAATTTCCTGTCTGAGACATGGGCTATTTGTGCTGCAATGGGAAAGACAGAACTGAGGCTGTTCTCAGAAGGGACAGAAAGACAAGAGAAGCTTGAAAAGCCCAATTTATGGGCTAGGTGCATTGAGCAGAGCATTCCAGGCACTTCCATTTAGCTGTGGCTCATATTGCCTCTAAGGGCCAAAGGAGCCTGCTGGAGGAAGGGTAGGAGTGAGGACAGGGCCTGTGGGACAGACTAAGAGGAGAAGGAGGGCTGGGGAGAGACTGGGAAGTCCTGCAGGCTGGGCTTTGGGCTCCTCAGGTCTACTACTTAGTATTCTCCTCCCAGTCCCATAGGCATGGCACACTGGGCTGTTGGAAAGAGGTCAAAGCCACCCAGACAGCTTCCAAATTGAAAGAGAACGTGCTTCCTCTGTCAACAGGAGTGCTTGGCACACTTGTAGGCAAGAACATATGCAGTGTGATCGAAATTTAAAAAGTTATTACAGTAGAAGACACATTGCCATTGATTGCCCTCAAAATACTCCCTCTTGCTTCCAAAACACTTATCATTCTTGCCACTTTCTGAAGTAGTTTTGGAAGTCTTCTTTGGTGTCTTACAAGTTGTGATTAAAAAATGGAGTGACTGCTGCTGCTGAGTGCCATCCAGTGGAAAGGCAGGCTTGTGAAAACACTAGGGTGTGTCCTCATCCATCTTATCACTGGATTTGGCACTTTGCAACTTCTGACTCTTCCCCAAAGTCAAAATGACCTTGAAAGGTAAACAGTTTGAATAATTTCAGGATGTTGAGGTAGCTATGGCAGTACACCTGAAGGAAGACACTCACCAGAAAGGATTTCCAGAACTCCTTCAAAAAGTGGCAAGAATGATGGGATAAGTGTTTTTGAAGTGAGAGGGAATATTTTGAGGGCAATTAATAGCAATATGTATTTTACTGTAATAAATTTAAAAAATTAAGCATGTATCATACTTTAAAAAAATCATATCTGATATCTTAAGAACAGTTCACTAATAAAGTTAGGGACACATGGTAAAAAAAGAAACTGTAGTGACATTCCCTTAGCCTTGACAACCAGCATCAGACCAGAAAAGGAAACTCACTGGGAGACAAGAGCATGTGAACCCCTGTGGTGGTGGTGGGGTCAGGGGAGTCAGGGCCACTGCATGTTGGGAACAAGGACAACAAGAGGGCAGACACAGTGCTCTGTGAGTCCCTGGGCTTCTTGTTTGTGGTCTGAAGATTCTGGTACCCAATGCTTATCAATGCAGGGCCCCATCTTACTCTCAAGTGACTTCTGAATATTTTCTGAGGGAAAGGTGGAGGGGGCCTAGGCACACACGAGGCCTTGCCTGTGCACCCCCGAGGCGCGTGTTGGGGAAGGTGGGACTGGGCTGGTCTAGGGACTGGTTTGAAGAGTTTCATGTTGGAGAGCTGTGGCCCAGGAGTTAGGTAGCAGGTACCAGGGTGGAGCCTGGTCAGGAACCTGTAGCCTGAGCCAGCCCACATAACCTGTGGGAGGCCAGGGGCCTGGGAGGAGCTAGCAGGTGGCTTTCTGCTTCTGCCTTTGTTTTCCTAAGCCCTCTTAGCCATTCAGGAGCCTCCAGTATTCTGCTTGGGACTTGGGTGACTGCCATTACCCCTGCTCCCAGTCATGGTGTTTTGGTGGACTCATGATTCACTGATAACAGCCTCAAATCCTAGTGTTGTCAGGGTTGGAGACCTGAGGAGCTGTGCTCTCTGGTGTGGTACCTTCATGTGGAGGGCCTTGAAGACTGTCACACAGGGGACTGTAGGCCAAGGTCATGTGATTCAGGAGACCATAGGGTTTATATCTCTTAGGAAGAAAATCTCAGCTTTGGTTGTCCGAGAAGGGTACACAGGATGAGTTTAATATCATGTGAGGAAGGGTTCTGCCCGTGGGTGGGCACACAGGCATGCCCTCTTCCTCTTTAGATCCTCAGTAGCACCAGAGGCCTCCAGGATTCAATAGTCTTGTTCCTAAAGTGTGATCCCCAGATCCTGACCCCCTGCTGGCAAGATCTACTTTAGATCGTGGGTCCCAGATCCTTTAAAGCTGCCAGGGTTGTCCCTGTGGATTCTTGATGGGTCCTTATAAAAGATGGACTTTGATCTGGCCTGGAAGTCTCATTCAAATGCTTGGAGTCCCAGTGTGTCCCCATTCCTTCAGGGGCTGGGAGGGGTGTCAGTGAGGAATACCTCATGCCTAGGAAACCCCAGAAAGGCCTGCCTGGATGGTCTTCCGATTCTAGGGCTGTGGCCCCTTCCTGCTTCTTGCAGAAGGCTGCTCCTGAGCCCCTTGTGAGGTGCTGGCACCAGGCCATGGGTGGAGCAGTTACATGCCCATGGGCACCTCTGCAGAGGTGTGCAGAGGGAGTGGATAGGCAGGTGAGGCCCTGGAGATGGGAAGGGCTGCCCTTCTGGGGACTCTGATCCCAGTGTCAGGGTCCCAAGGGCAGCCAAGATGTGTCCCTTTCAAGTTTTTGTTTAACTCACGTCATCTCACTGGGATCCACTCAGACCGCAAGATTTAACACTTTCTGCTGTCCTGACCCTTTTTTTCCTGGTATGTTTTTTTCTTCCTAACATATTCTGTAATTCATTCGTTCATTATTTATTGTCTGTGTCTTCTGTTGAAGCATCAGTTCCAGGGGCAGGAGCCTTCGTTTTGTTCATTGGAGTACCGCAGTAGCTTGAACAGTGTTTGGCCCCCAAATATGTGTATTTGCAAAGGGAATGAGTAAGTAAATTCATGAAGGGATGGGTCAGGCCAGACATGTCAGGCAGGGCCCCTATGCTCTGTCCTTCAGATGTAAGCCCAAATTGGTCTGAGCTGAGAAAACACCCACCCAAGACTGGCCTTACGGGCAGGTACATGCTCAGAGGGGCCCTGGGCTTGGTTGAATTCTCTACCATTACCATCTTGAAATTCTCAGTAATTTTTGAATAAGAGGTTTCATATTTTTATTTTGCACTGGGCTTGCAAATGACGTAGCTGGTCCTGACTCAGTCTACTCCTTGAGGGAGCGGGAGTGGATAAGGATTTCATTTGTCTTTCCAAGTGAGATTCCTGTGGTTAAGGCAGAAGCAGACTTCTCAGACTTTTTAAACCTTTATTTTGAAATAATTTGAGATTTAGAGGAAAGTTGCCAAGAATAACACAAACAATATTCTGTCTTAAATCATCAGAAACTAAGTTGCCAACCTCCTAGCTCATCATCCTTAATATTCCGTATATTTCTCTCTCTGATTAAGGACTTTCTTCTACATAGCCACAGGGCAGACTTCAAAATGAGGAAGATAGCATTGATACAGCACTTCATCTAATCCACATTCAAGGTTTATCAGTTTTTTCTTTTTGTCATTCTGGGGATTGAGCTCAGAGAATGTTGAGCTCTCTCCCTGTCCCTTTTTCATTTTCTGATTTTGAGGTAGGGTAGTATTAAATTGTCCAGACTAGTCTTGAACTTGAAATCTTCCTGCCTCAGCCCCCAAGTAGTTGAGATTTTGACCATGTGATTTATAGCAAAAAGATCCAATCAAAGATCATGTGTTGGATTTAGTTGTTTCGTGTCTTTAGTGTTCTTCCATCAGAGATAATTCCTCAGTCTTTCCTTGATTGTTATAACCTTGTAGTCTTGACATTTTGGGGGGATATGGGGCAGTTATTTCATAGACTGTCCCTCAAGTTAGGCTTGTTTGTCTGATATTGTCTTATGCACAGATTTCGGTTATGCATCTTTGTGTAAATATAAATGAGGCTGTGTTGCTCTCATTGTACCTTAGCAGGTGGTGTGGCTTTGATGTGTTTCCTTACTGCACTATTACCTTTGATCATGTGGTGAAACTAGCATTTGCTGTATTTCCCATAAATCGTCCCTCTACCCCACTTTCTAATAAGTAAGAATTTTGTGGAGAAGCACTTTGTGTCCTTCTAAGTATCCTGTTCCTCCTCTATCATTTACCCATAGGGTTTTGGTTTTGTTTTGCTTAAAAAATATTTTTTGTGGTCCTGAGGTTCATTGTTTTCTGTTGATTGAATTTATTATTATTTGGATGGTTACTCAGTGGAGATATTCTAAATCAATTATTCTATAAATTGATATTCTAAATCAAATTTTTTTTTTTTTGTACCGGAGATCGAACTCGTGTCCTTGTGCTTGCACAACACGCGGCAAAACCACTGAGCTAAATCCCTGGCCCTAAATCAAATATTCTAATCAGTTGGCATTGCACTGTAAGGGAAAGCTTTCTCCCCTCTTATTTATTTCAATATAGATTCATGTATTTCTATTTTATTCAATGGTTTAATCTGTTATTATCATTATTGATTTTTGTGGTTAAATTGTCCCAGATTTGGCCTTTGGAAGCTCCTGAAAGCTGACTTTTGTGTCCTTTTGACACGTTTCTGTCACTCACTGAGCATTTCCTTGCTTTCTGGAATAAAAAGAGGGTTCAGGCTCATTTTGGACCTTCCTCGCCCTACCATTGAAATCAGTTATTTTTGCAAAGAGCTCATTAGCCTTTTGATGAAGTGGAGAGAAGCCCCACTCCCAGGAGAGTTGTTAAAAACACAGATACCCAGGCCCACTCAGGGTCATTAAAGCGGCCTCCCAAGAGTGTGGATCTGAGCGAGACTCACGAAGGCTGCGCCTCTCCCTTCCAAGGACTACTGGAGTGGAGGTGCGGGAGCTGGCTGCTCCCTCGGCGACACCTGGTGATGATTTAGGAAACTGCAGGGCCGGCTAGGTCCGCCCTGAGCCCCTTTTCCCATAGGTCCTACCCTGCATTAGCCTGGCTGTTCCTCCCCGGACCCCAGTCCACACGGGGCAAGCCTGGGAGCTGAACACATCAGGGGTCCTTCAGCCTCTTCAGCTTCGGGTCAGTGTTTGCCCCAAGAGTCCCTGGACAAGAATATTACTCAGGAGAGATACTCAGCGTTCCGTGCTAGAGGCACGGAGTTATGCATCATTAAATATCTACAAAAGGTCTTCTCAAACCTGGAGCAATCCTTGGTTTCTAAGGAGAAGAAAAACATTTTTATGCAGTGGAGCTATACGTTATTTGTTTTAAAATAGTGGAAGAATTGTATCAGTATGTGAAGAGGTGGAAGTGTTAGGGATAATTGTTTTCTTTTGAATTATGTTTCTTTAAGGTTTTTATACTTTTAAAACTTTCTTTTCTTCACCCCTCCCCCCTTCTTTGCAGTACTGGGAATTGAACCCAGGATCTCCCTAAGTTGCTAAGTTGCTCAGGCAGGACTTGAATTTGTGATCCTTCTGTCTCAGTCTCCCAGAATGCTGAGATTATAGTGTGATCCATCATACCCAGCTTCCAAGTTTTCTTAGAGTGTTACTAGGATTAAGACCAAAGGCCATCTGGGAGGCTTGCCAGGCTGGTGGCACCAGGAGAGGCTCTGCCAGGGGCTGGCAGGCCTGGGGCTACGAGGCTGGAGGATTGCCGAGATCCCCGTGAGCAGTTCAGGTCAGGGTGGGGGTTTGGGCAGGAGTCCAGGCAGCTTTCCCCATCCCTGTGAATCATGTGACTAGGCACTGTCCTCCTGGCTGAGGATGTGGTGGGACAGGGCCCCATGCTCCTTTGCCCTGGGACCCAGCAGGGTTCTAGGGGGAAGAGGCTCAGCAAGGGGAAGGGCACCTGAGCCCCTCTCAGAGCTAGCTGGGGCCTGAGCAGAGCTGAGCAAAGGTGAGCTGGCCATGGAGAAGGAGGACAGGGTCCTCGGCAAAGCAAAGAGGCTAAGGATACCTGCTCCTGAGACTTTGAAAGTTCAGCAGGAGAGGTTGGGTTTCTGATTTCGACTTAATCCTCACTTGGCCCTATGAGAAAGGTGCTATTGCAAGTATAACTTCTTTTTGTAGATAAGGAAACTGAGGCATACCAAAGATTACTTAGCTCCTGTATGGTGGAAGCTGACCTCAGATGCTATACTTCACCATCTGACTATGCACATGGGTCTCTGGGGTGGCTTTTGACATGGCTCCAGCCAACAAGACCCTTGTCAGAGCCATGTTCTCTGGGGAGGGATGCAGGAAGCAGGGGGGATGCTGGGGGGCAGTGGCCCAGGGACAGCGCACTGACCTGCTGCCCACCCCGTGTCTTCCAGGGCTCACTAGTCCTGCAGGTGTCCTACACACCACTTCCTGGAGCTGCGCCCATGTTCCCGTCCCCTGCTTCTCTGGAGCCCTCCCCAACACTGCCTGAACTGGACGTCGTGGCTGGTGAGGAGCCTACCCTCATTGTGGCAGGATCCCTGGCAAGGATGGCAGTGGTACCTGAGCTGGGGCTGGAGCTACATGAAGCCTCCTCCCAGCATTCTCTGCCCTCTCCAGGCTGTGGCTGCCCTGGCTTGGAGAAGAGAGCATTTGGGTGGTGGTGAGGCATGCTCCCTCAGGTGCCAGCTCCCAGCCCGTGTGCCTGGCTGGGTCCCCTGTATTGCACAGCCCTAAGATGGGTGTGACAGGATTGGCTTTGTCCCAGGAGCTACCTCAGGTCTTACCCACTCTCCAGAGCCCCATCTTCCTCCACCCTGGCACCCAGCAGGCTTTTAGTGATGGCATGTGACAAAAGAGCTCGTTTTCCTTTGAAAGAGCTCTGCGATAAATCAGAGGACACAAGTTCCAGTCTTGCCCTTGACATTAAGTAGCTGTGTGATTTGGGGCCCGTCATTCCCCCTCTCTGGGTCTATAGATTATCATTTCACAAATGAATGAGCAGGCTGAATTAGTGAAGTCCTGTGCCTGCCTTAGTCCTGTGCCTCTTCACTTCCTCTTTGGGGTCTATCAGGTAAGAACCCGGGCCCGGGGTTGGCTTGCCAGTGATGGCCTGGCATAGCCTCTGTGTGGTCAAGCTGAGGAGGATGGGCCAATGGGCATTTGCCCATGGAGGAGATTCTAGAATTTATCCTTAAGGGGGCTAGAAGCAACACAATCTGAAAACCCCGAGCAGCCTTACAGTGTGCTCTATGCCAGTCTGGGGGCTCTGTGGAGAGAGGCAAAGAAGCCATCTTGTTAGGGCTCAGCTGTGTCTGAGCATAGAGGTCGGAGCTCATTTTGGACTGGGGTCACCTGAAGTAGCCAGCGGAACACCCCCAGCTCGAGTGGAGCTGGAGCAAGTTCTGAGGAAGAAGTTGGGGTGCTCCTGGTGGCAGAGGGCCCCAAATGCTCTGGGACCACACTAAGGTGGGTGTGACAGAATTGGGTTCAGACCAATCAGAGCCATCTCCCAGTCCTGCAGAATGTGTGTGGGGGGACACCCCTCCACAGACACAGCAGCTCTTTCTGAGCTTTGCACCAGGCTGGAGAGGGCAGGGAAATGGGGTTGGGGGTGCAGTAGGTGGGCTTCCCTCACCCTAGCTCCCTCCCACCCCTCCCCCTGGGGCTGTGTCCTACCCACATGCCAGGTGGGGGACAGAGCCAGGCAGAGACTTGGTCCCTGCTCAGTGACAGCACCGTGGACACGAGATACTCTGGAAAGAAGTGGCTGGCCCCCACGGGTGAGGCTCGGGCCAGGCTGCCCCATCCCAGACCCTACCACCTGTAACCATCTCACCTGCCACCACTGTCAGCCCCCTGCAGTGGGACGAGGTGGCCTGGAGGGCTCATCCTGCAGGGGTCAGGAGGTGGGGAGGGCAGGGCCATTCTGTCTTCTTCCTGTTGACTAACTGGACTGACTGGCTTCACATTTCAGCTGCTCTTCTTTCTGCCTCATCCATCATGGCTCATGATGTGGAAGACTGGGGATGGGGATTGGGGTGCTGGGTCCTGGCACCCATGCTGCTTGGGCCCTCCCTCTGCTGGGTTGAGTCCCAAGGGCAGAGTTAGAGGGACTCGATCCTCACTGGGGCACTGTCCTCACAGACACAGGAGGAGAAGAAGACACTGAGGACCAGGGACTCACAGGAGACGAGGCAGAGCCCTTCCTGGATCCAAGTGGTGTGCCAGGCCCGGGGGCTCCCACCACCCCCAGGAAGCCACCTTCCCGTCCTCCTCCCTACCACCCTGGGAGCAAAAGAAAGAGAAGCACACCCCCACCCAGGAAGCTGCTGTCAGACAAACCACAGGACTTCCAGGTGACTGACCCCAGCCTCCTCCTTTAGCCCATCAGCAGCTGCCAGCACCAGGCACCTAGTCTGTCTGTCCAACTTTAGGGGAAGTGTGCCTGTGCCCTAAGGGCAGTCCCAGTGGAAGTCTGTCCTTTCTCTGGGTTCTGAGCAGCTTCTGAATGGGAACTTTGTGTCTTTGGGTTTCAGAAGATGCCTCTGCTCAATCCCAGTGTTTTGCTCTTCCAACAAAAGTCCTGCAGAGAGTCAACATATCTGTATCTCTTGTCTGATGCTTCCCAGCATTTGTCTTACTAGCTGGTTCCCTGCTGTTTGCTGTGCAGTCTGTGTCCCAGGCAGTGTCACCAGGTGTCCGGGTGCTCCTTAGTAATGCGCAGTAATGCTGGAGCAGGATCTGGATTGTTATAAGACCCCTAAATCTAGGGAGCTCTGCTTAGCATCTTGCTTCTCCTCTATCTACACTCCTGCTTATAACAATGAATTTTTCTAGAGTGATGCAGAATTTGAATTTGTTCAAGCTTTTCACAGAATGTAACTATTAATATTAACCTGTTGGTACATTTTTATCCAAAATCCATCCCATTTTACTTGCCTTTTAATTTTGATCCTTTGGTTATTCTACAGAAGTTTCCATTTTGATGTAGAATGCCTCAGAACTACCTTTAATGTTAAAAACAGGAAACTTAAATCTCTATTTATTAAGTGCAACAAATCATCAAACTATATTTCAGTTTAAATCATGATAAATTAAGCAAAAGTTTCAGCTATAACCACTATGTTTCCCTCAAGAGACAGATTTCCAGCTCCCATATTATTCCCAGGACATGTTTTTATTGCCTTTTTTTCCTCTTTCAAAAAGCAATATATGTTTATTGTGGAAAAATTGAAAAATGCAACAAAATGAAGAGAATAAAAATTACCCATCCATTGGGCATGGTGGTGCACACCTGTAATCCCAGCACTCTGGGAGGCCGAGGCAGAAGGATTGTAAGTATGAACTCTGCCTCAGCAACTTACAAGTTATCAGGGCTCATCTCAAAATAAAAAACAAAAAATAAACTGTAAATATAGGTTAATGTGAAGCTCCTGGGTCCAAACTCTAGTACCACAAGGAAAAAAACTCACCTACCCTCCTGTTGTTATTAATAGTATATTCTTTTATGCCTGGGGATTTAGCTCAGTGGTTCCACTGCCTCCCTCCCAAGCTAAGGACCCAAGTATGATCCCTGGTACCAATATATATATATTCTTTCAAAGCATGCTAGGTTTTTCTTTAAAAAAAATTTTTTTTGGGCCAGGGACTTAGCTCAGTTGTTCCGGTGCCTGCCTCGAAAGTGCAAGGACCCAAGTTTGATCCCTAGTACCAAAAAAAAAAAAATTTTTTTTTTGAGACTAGGTCTCACTATGTAGTTCAGGCTGCCTTGAACTCATGGCAGTCCTCCTACCTCAGCCTCTTGAGTGCTGGGTGTGTGCACCACCATACCTGGTTTAAAAATTTTTTGTTACTACATAATGATTACATTAATAGAATGCTATTTTTATAAGAAATTGGTCAACAAATACAGTTGATTAGAAAGTAGAACCAGTAAACATCTTTTTTTTCCATAAAAATTATTTTAATGTTTTTAAATTTCCAATTTTAAATTATTTGACCTAATGTTTAGAAGCACAAATGTTCTTGAAATTTTCATTTACTTTAAAGTTAAAAAAAAAGGTCAATGGTGAAAATTCTTCCTTTAGGTTTCAGAATGTAAGAAAGCATTGCATTTAATAATAAAAAGGATACAGGATGGGGATCAGGGTGAGCCCTTGTGTGGCCTAGCATGTGTGAGGACCTGGATTTGATCCCCAGCACTGAAAAAAAAAAGTACTATTTATGGGATCACTGTGTAAGTTTGACCTCTGAGGGAATTGTCAGTAAAGAATCTTCAAGCCACTGTGAAATGTTGGTATCGGTATTGCCAGACCTTGGATGGGGCTCGTGCTGAATGAAGCGCACAGAGTTGGGGGCACTGGATCCCCCCACCCCTGGTTTACTGCAGGTGGCTTATTCAGGGCTCTTCTATGAATCTGTGGAATTTTACAGATGCAAGGGACCCGGCAGGAAAATATGTTCTTATAGTAATCTTTCTAATACCTTTCTAGTTGTCTTCCCAAAAGTCAGCAGCAAGATGGCCCCCGAGATTTCTGACTCCTGGGGTGGATGGGGGGTGGTCCCTCCTTCCTGCCTGCCTAGTGCCTTTTCCATTCTTCCTGTCATGCCTCCTCCCGGCTTTCAGATCAGAGTCCAGGTGATCAAAGGGCACCAGCTGCCAGGGGTGAACATCAAGCCTGTGGTCAAGGTCACAGCTGCTGGGCAGACCAAGCGGACTCGGATCCACAAGGGAAACAGCCCTCTCTTCAATGAGGTGATAACACTGGGCATTAGTGACAGAATCTTGGAAGGCCTTCCCAGCCAGGGACCTGCTCATTCATTTGAGTATTTGCATTTGGAGCTGACTTTGGCTTGGGACATGTGCCAGGCTCCTGCTGCTCTGCATCCCTGTCATCCATAGGGCTGTGCCTGGGATGACAACCTCTGTGCGCTTGGGTGGGGCACCCAGGTCGTGCGGAGTCCCCAGAGCTCGCACTGTGTTGAGCTCACTCCTCTTTTCTGTGTGAACTCAACTTCCGGGCTGATGGACTATGGGTGGTGATCATACTGCTGCCTGGCCTGAGGGGTCACAGGCACTGATTTGTCTCCCTTTCTCTCTGTACCAACAGACTCTTTTCTTCAACTTGTTTGACTCCCCTGAGGAGCTGTTTGATGAGCCCATCTTTATCACGGTATGTCTCAGCAGCCAAGGATTCTCCATGGGCTATGTGCACACATAGACATGTGAGTGTGTGCGTGCGTGCGTGCGTGTGTGTATGTATGTGTGTGAAATGTTAAGACCTGGCACCTAGATCATACAGACAACTCCCTGTCAAGTTCTACTGGTTACAGACATGCCACAGCAGCACAGCTGGAAGGTGGCAGCCCCCAGCTACTCAGTGTCCCCAGGTTCCTCAGGTCGGGGTCCTTAAGCTCCTTCATGTAGCGTCTACTTTTGGGCAAGGTTTTCTCTCTCTGAGCCTCAGCTTTCTCCTATCACTGCCCAAAGGAGGGTGTGGTCTAAGTGGTGAAAAGTGTGGGTGCTAGACAATTTGGACTCCGATCCTGCCTGTACCATTTATGAATGTGTGATTCTCCACATGTCCTGTAATCTCTCTGTGCCCCTGTTCCTTCATCTGAGCATGAAACATTGCTTAGAACAATCTCTGGAATGGAGTAAGTATCTGTTGTTGGCTGTTCTTATTGAGACTGAAGAGCTGTGGGGTTTGACCCTGCTGGACATGTTTCCCTGGTAAATGTGAGTTCTCAATGATCTTATTCTCCAGGTGGTGGACTCCCGTTCCCTCAGGACAGATGCCCTCATCGGGGAGTTCCGGGTAATTGTTCACTTTCTCTGACTGGGAGCAGTTAGCTCCTACTTCCTGTGCTCTTGGAGGCTCTGTGGACAGTGCACAGGGGCTGGAATTCCACAAACCATGCCTACCTTGATCTGTGCCGGGAAAACACCTACCCCTAAAAACCCTTTGGAAAATCTCCCAACTCAGAGAATCTCTAGATAAAGGTAGAGAGAGGCAAAACACTTTTATTATTGAATAAGCATTAGCTAAAATGTGATGTGCACCATAGGCAATTCGCCCAGAGATGGCAAAGGCAGAAAGAAATCTCACACTTTTATGTAGCCCGTGGATTTTTCCATTACACACATGTTTCTGAGATAAACAATAACTAGTACTCAAGTAAGAGAAGAGGGTAGCACCATTGGTCACATAGAGTGCATGCTCCACTCACCTGGAACTTGCATAACCAATTATGTTAGGTCATTTATTTATCCAGAGGGGAAACAACAGTCAAACTTCTGCTTCTGTGACAAGAGGTAGTTTTACAGCATGGAGGACCGGCCCACTGAAGTTATACTCCTGGCTTCCTCCTGGCAGTAAGGAACTGTTTACATTTACATTTCAGAGAGATGGCCCTCGGGTCCTTGAGAAAGTCAGTCCCATATCATATAGTTGACAAAAGGCTTAATTTTTAGAAAAATGATATATTTTATTTATTTATTTATTTTTGGTACTGGGGATCGAACTCAGGACCTTGCGCTTTCGAGGCAGGCTCCGGAACCACTGAGCTAAATCCCCAGACCAAAAATGATATATTTTAAAGAGACAGAGAAAGTACTTACAAGTTTTCTATGGTAAATGTGTGACAGCAGAGAGGGGAATGAAATTTTCCTCTATTTCCAGCAGGGGGAATCCAGCCCCTTCTTTTTAATGTCTTTCTGTCCCTACATCTGGGAAGGCAGCCCTTGCCAGTTCTGACCATCTGGAGCCAGCATGACCTGGCACTCTCTGCCCTGACCTCAAGTTCACTATGGGTCAGGGGTGGCATTCAGATGTGGACCCCTGGGAGAGGGAAGCCCCCTGCTCCAATCTGCTTATGTGTCCCAGGTGGCCTAGAAGTTGATAGTCACTTCTTGGAATAGTCTAGGACTGCATAGACAATTGAGCTCATAGGATGCATTCAATAAATTACACAAAGTACCATAAAGGAGCCCAGATGGTACTGTAATGTCATTTAATGCAATTCTTATTGATGTTCTCATTTTAGAATCTTTAAGAATTTATCAAAAGGAAAGAAAGAGTACAGGCTTGTTTGAACCTGCCCCTGATATCCAAATGAATTATGCTCCCTTCTCTGGGAAATAGTCTGAAGATAAAAACCTAAGTCTGGTTTCTTGGAGAAGCATTTTTTTTTTTTTTTTTTTTTGGTACTGGGGATCGAACTTGGAACCTTGTGCTTGCAAGGCAGGTGGCAGCACCACTGAGCTAAATCCCCAGCCCCAAGGAGAAGCATTTTTTAAAGAGATGGGTTTCAGCTTGAGTCATTGTGTAACACATGAAATCTTTGTGTTTCAAGTTTCTAATGTTTCTGTACTTATTCTGAGAACATAAAAATTAAGCTAAATTTATTTTTTCTCATTATGGAAATACAAATGACTCAAATTTATCCTTCTTTATGTCTGAGTAGTACTCCATTATGGCTACTACATCTTCCTTATTCATCCATCTTTTGATGGATAACTATGCCACTTCCAGGATTTAGCCATTATGCATTGTGCTGTTATAAACATGGGTATGCCTGCATCACTGCAATATCATGTCTTAGTTCTGTTAGGAAGATACCTAGAAGGGGAATTTCTGTGTTTAGTTTTTTGAGGAATCTCCATACTGATTTCCATAGTGTACTAGTTTACAGTCTCACCAATAATGTGGAACGACTTCATTTTCCCCTGAAGCCTTGGCAACATTTGTTATTATTTGATTTCTTGATAATAATCCCTCTTTCGGGAGTAAGATGAAATCTCGATGTTGTTTTAATTTGCATTTTTGTCATGGCCAATGATGTTGAATATTTTTTCACGTATTTGCCCATTGTACTTCTTCTGAGAAGTGTTTATTCATTTCAGTGGTGGTCGGGGGGCAGGGATCGAATTTAGGACCTTGCACTTGCCAGGCAGGTCTGGTGCCACTGAGCTACATCCTCGGCCCTCAGTTGCCCATTTTTTGATTTAGCCTTTTATTTTGGGGGCTCTTGTATTTTAAAGTTGTATTCTAGATATTAGTCCCCTGTCCAAGGAGTAGCTGGCATTTTTTTTTCCTGCATCTTGTAGTTTGTCTCTTCACTTAATTGGTTGCTTGCTTTGCAGTGCAGAAACTTTTGAATTTGATATAATCCCATTTGTTGATTCTTGATGTTATTTCTTGTGCAATTGAGATTCTGTTCAGTAAGTCTTTACCTATGCCTATATCTTCAAGAGTTTTATCTATTTTATCTTCCAACAGATGCACTTTGGGACCATAATGTCAAGTGAAATAAATCAGACAAACAAGCACAAATATCGCATGGTTTCTCTTACATGAGAAACCTAAAGTATAAATAATTTAAGGTGCAAAATAAAGGATGGACAGCAGGAAACAGAAAGATAGATTTGTTTTTCCAAATGGGAATGGCATCTAGAGATGTTGGGAGAGGGGAACGAGGGGAGGGCGAGGGGAATAAAGGAATTCAGATGTGTTGTATACATGTGCCAACTCCGCATGATGAATATGATCAATATGTAAAGCAAGCATTCTAATAAACATTAAAATAACAGGCACAATATAAAAATAATTATAAAAGTAATTTATGATTTAAAAACTAGGCTTTATGTTTTAGGTTCGTAGCAAAATAGAGTGGGAGTTAAAGAGAAGTACAGTTTACCTTCTGGCCCCTCCACTACCCCACAGCTTCCCTTACTATCAATGTCCTGATAACCTATGTTTTTTTATAGAAAATTATAAAATACAGGAAACAAAAAAAATAAAAAGCACTCCAATCTGCCACAAAGATAGCTTTGTTACTATTTTTATTGTATTTCCTTCTCTCTTTTTTTGTGCATAAACATACTTTCCCAAACTGTGTACCAAAATGTGTTCTGCTTTCTTTCCATGTAGTATCAAATGATGAAGGGTTCCCTGTCCCCAGATGATTTTCATAAACGAGACATTTAATGGACTCAGGTAGTGCACCATGCTTTATGTAACACTTCAGTGGCAAGAATTTGATTTGTATTTTCCTGTCTGATTTCAGATGGATGTGGGCACCATTTACAGAGAGCCCCGTGAGTTCTCACCCCTTTGCCATATCCTTGCATTTTGGTTCTTGAGGCTGCTTGGGAACATCTGCTTGAGCCTTCATCTTCCTCCCTGGGGGTTGGAATTTAGAGGTGGGATTTGTTGCTGGAGGAGGAGGCAGGAGTTCACCCTCCATGCAAAGCCGGCCCTTAGGAAGATCAAAACCTCACCTGTGTCTCAGGAGGCCTCAGACACGATAAACCTGGCAAGTCCTATCAAGGGCACTGGGACCTATCTTCACCTCAGACAGAGGCAGAACATTTTTGTAATGAAGCCAAGATTTCACCTCACCAAGGTTCCACCTTGACTGGTCACTTCCCGAAAAAGTCGAAAATAACCTCCTGTTTGACTTTGACAGCCTCTTGTAGAGATTTCTGTTAATATTTCTGACTCTGACCCACATAAACACAAGTACATTTTGATAACAGATTTTTTAAAAAACATTGAGGCATTTATTTAATTACCAATTATGGAGTGTGGCATGATTTATAAGTGGCTAAGTTTCTACCTCCTCAGGAAAACAGCCTTATTGAGTGACTGTAGCATCCTTCGGGGACCTTCAATCTTTGGTTATGAGCTCTTGGTTTCACTACCCCACTGGTTCTAGGGTTTGAATCTTGCCTCCTCCTTCCAGTGGCTGCGGTCCATCCTGGCTTCCTGGATGTGGCTGCAGACTTGGGTTTTCCTGTCCTGGGATTGCCAATGGGCATTTACTTGCTTTTAGGGCATGCTTATCTCAGGAAGTGGCTACTTCTTTCCGACCCTGATGATTTCTCTGCTGGGGCCAGAGGCTACCTGAAAGCCAGCCTGTGTGTACTGGGGCCAGGGGACGAAGCTCCTGTGAGTACCTTTTCCTGGGTCATAGCCATAGCACTTCACATAGTACCTGCTGGTGGAGGCACCAAACAAAACCCCCAATTCAATTTTTTAAATTTAGAAGTCTAGTTGGTAATTATAAGAAGTGTAGAACATGTAGGAAACAAAAATTGAATCTTTTGTCGTTCTACCAGAGAAATCCATTATTAAAATCTTATCCCATATCCTTTTCAAAGGATATACGTGTGCATTTTTGTTTTTTTCAAAAGTGAGATCATTCTCAATATATTTATATTATAACCTGGATTTTATTGCCTAAGAATATATGATTATCATCTTCACTCGTCAGTAAGTAAGCTACAAATTGGAGGCGGTAAGAGTGAGAGAAGTGTTCAGAATTGGGAGCTGTCAGGATCTCATATGTTTGAGAAGAGACGGGGTGAACTTGTGGGAGAGGAATGTGATGTCGCATGTAAGTGTGCCGGGTGGAGCTCTTAGAAAAGGAAGATAAAGCATGGAGATCAATAACACACTGAGGAATCATATTTGTCTGCTTTGTAGCTGGAGAGGAAGGACCCCTCTGAAGACAGGGAGGACATTGAAGGCAACCTGCTCAGGCCAACAGGTGTGGCCCTTCGAGGAGCCCACTTCTGCCTGAAGATCTTCAGGGCTGAGGACTTGCCTCAGAGTGAGTGGGGCACCCCCTCTGGGTGGGCGGCCTGCCAAAGCTCTGGCCAGACCTTTGGGAGGGTGGCCCTGGGTGGGGTTGTGGTGGGCTCCGTGGTGAGCTCAGCTTTCTGGGAGAGGGAAAGGCTTTGCTCTCCAGTGGGTGCCCCTCTGCTCTCTACCTGTCTCCCCTGGCCTGGCTTTCTCTTTGAGGATTTACTAGAGATAAGTGCTGACCAGTTCTCCCTTCACTGTTGCCTGGCAGATGCTTCACATCCTTTTAAAATTCCCCCCCCTTGTGCTGAAGATTGAACTCCAGGCTTCACTGAGCAACAATCAGAATTTAATAGAGAGTAATACATGGTGGCGGAGTTAGAAAAATCCTTGAGTCTTGAAAGTGATAGCAGCCCCTGGGCTCCATCCCAGTGTCCCTAGATCTGGTCTGGCCCCTTAGCCACTCTGTGGACCCATTTTCTTGGTTTTCACTGAGGAGGCTGCACCATCTGGACACCACCCTGCTCTTGGAGTGGCTCTCGTGATTGTTCCTTCCTTCTGTGAGGAAGCCTGAGTCAGCAGATTCTGGGTAGAGAGCAGTTGCTCTGATGGGAAGGTTTGCACAAAGGACCTGGGACCATTGTTTTCCAGATGAAGAATGCTGCTCTACCAGGTGGCCCACCAACCCCCTTGACCTAGGTCTGTCCTGGTGTCAGAAAGTCCCATGCTCCAGGAGACTCCTATGTCCCTAACAAACTGGGTCGCCTGACTTGTGGCCATCTCCTCATCTTCCTAGGAAGGCCAGTGTGGTTATTGAGTGGGTTCTCACTATTGCTGGTCTGGTATTGGCCTCACCCTGTGTGTTTAGGATAGGTTGCTAGAAGAGTTAAACTGAATATTCTAGAACCACGAGTGTCAGCAGGGCTGGCATTGGAATAAGGCACACTTATTCCTAGTGTTTAAAGACTCCCCAGGCATCCGGTTGCAAGACACTATTTTAGAGCATACATTAGCATAATCAAACCAGTCACTATTCCCAGCTGTCAGTGAAAACATTTGCAACTTGGATCCCTGTTTGTAGTTTTGCATAAAGCAGTTTGAGGCTTTCTGCTTTGGTAAAGACATCAGTATAGAAATGAAATGGATTCCTTCTGTACAAGTTCACTTGGACCAAAATCACAGGGGAAAGCCTTTAAATAACTAATGGGAATTAAGTGGATATTAGAATACATGCTTAAAAACATTCACATTCATTGGTTGCAGCTATGTAGATGTGAAGCTAGTGAGCTTCCACAGGGGTGTGGGGACTTAGAAATGCTCACTTTTTTAAGGTGAAGAAGCTTTGTGTTAAATTCTCTACAGTGTTGTTTAAATAAAAACAACATAAATATTAGACAGATAAATACAACAGATTTGCTAATATTTGCTAATTGTTACCTATTGCATTCATATAGACATTGGCTAGCATAAAATTTTTAATTGACTCCTCTCATTCATTCATGTACATATAAACATTTATAAATATATATATGTACATACACATAATCAATATGTGTGTGTGTAATCTGGCTAATTCAATTAAATAGTTGGTTTAAAGAAGCAAATTAAAAACTTTTTTAATGGACAGAATTGACCTATTGGTTAAATGCAGGGAAATCATTGTACTAATGGATATAAAAGGAAATGTCCACCATGCACCAATAATTGGCTTATTATTCCAAAGTTCTCCAGTGCTCAACTGCATAGCTTACTGTCCTCAGCGATACAGACTTCTCATCAGTTGAGTCAGCAGTCAGTCTGAAGCTTCTTGGTGCCAAGGGGACAGAGACCTGGCTGCCTGGGGCAGGGTGAGGACACATCCCAGTGTGCTCAGGGGTGGCTCCTCTGAGAGTCCTCCCTCCCAGAAGCACCTGGCCTGAGTCCTGAGGCAGGGACACAGCTGCAGTGCTGCCTGGTGACAGGGAGTGTTGGGGCTGGTGGGGATATCAGGTGGGTCATGACTCCTGTGTCCTCCTCCCCAGTGGATGATGCTGTGATGGACAACGTGAAGCAGATCTTTGGTTTCGACAGTAACAAGAAGAACCTGGTGGACCCCTTTGTGGAGGTCAGCTTTGCGGGGAAGATGGTAAGAAGCAAGGAAGCAGGAGGTCTCCTGTGGGAGGGTGACGGCTGGGTATCCTTGAACAGGTGCCAGGGCATATAGGACAGTGAGGTGCCCTGGCTGAGCATGGGAACCTGGAGGGGCTGATGCTGAGACACAAGATGTGACGTGAACCTGGGTCGGCTCTCTGGGGCTGCTATGCACATGAATGTTGACAGGTCTGCCTGGGTGTCTGTATAGAGAAATAGGTGTGGATGGACTTGGAGAGGACAGGTGGATAGTGGGTGGATAGAGGATTATTTACAGGAAAACTAAGCAAAAGCCTGGAAACCAGAGGTGAAGGAATAAAGATAGGAAAACTTTTTTAAAATGTGTGACCAAAACCTAATGATTATTTTTAAACATTGGTGGCAGGAGTTGGACAGAGAGCATTCTGGTGGGTGCTCTAGGGATCACCAATGTACCATCTCTTCCTTTCAGCCCAGGAGTGGGCCTATCACTCCTGTCCTTGTTGACTTCTGTCCCAGCAACTTTCTCCTTATGGACTGATGCCTCCTAGGCTCTGGGTACCCACTTCTTTGGCCTCTCCCAAACTTCAGCCATCACCTCTCTGCAGGGGACTCCCACAGCTCACATCCTTTGCTTCAAGCCCAAGCTTGTTCAGGCCTCTGAACAGCTCTGCCTGATGTCCTTGTGAGCATTTAGAGGACATGTGAATCAGCTTTCCTATTGCTAGGACGCAATACCTGACGTCTACAAGTTAAAGGAGAGGATTTTTTGGTTCATAGTTTTAGAGGGTTCAGTCCATGATTGGCTGGCTCCAAGGCAGGGATGTCATAGAGTAAAACTGCTTAGTTCATGGTGTTCAGGAAGCTGAGAAAGGAAACAGTGCTGGAAAGGAAGGGCCTAGGGGCCGTGTATAGTACACAAAGTCATGCCTCCACTGGCCTACCCAGACACACCTAAAAGTGTGCCCTGCTAATTGGATGTTTTTAATCTAGTCAAGTCAACAATCCTGACAATCCAGGATTAAAGGTGATGGAGGTGTCATTTTCTCTGGTCCCAATGGCTCCACTTCTAGGAGCCTCCATCTTAACCCAGTTCTACCACCAATGGCGGAACACGAAAGTCTGTTTTGATTCCTTCTTTTTTCTCTTTCCACATCAAACATGCATGTCACCTCTAGCCCTTGACCTCAAACATGCCCCCGAGGCACAGCCCTTCCCTGTGTTCCTAGAACCACTGCCATCTCTTCCCAGGACCACACGGCAGTCCCCCCACTGCTCTTTTTCTCACCTCATGACTGATGTGTTTGCAGAGCCCCAGCCATTTGTCCAAGTTCTGGATTTCTCTGATTAGTTCCTTCTGGTGTTGTTTAATTTGCTCATCTGGCTCTTGTATTTTCTGTAAACTGGAAATTAGGTCTACAGATTCATTTAGGTTCAGATCAAGTATTTTGCCCAGAAGTCATTGTAGGTGATGTTCTGTGCATCATATTGCACAACAGAAAGCAATAGTGTCAGTGTCCCAGCATCAGTGATGACCATCTGACCTCTTGGTCACAGTGGTGGCTCCAGGTCTCCCCCTTGTAAAAGTAGACAATTCTCTTTGTAATTGGCAGATACTCTGTGGCACTATCCTGGTTCTGGGGATGTAAGAGCATATTCTACTTCTTAGCAACTTCTAACCAAAAGCTGTAAACACCCATTGACCTCTTTGCCTCAATAAATCATTTACTGTGGTTGCACAGTGGTGATTTTCTCATTATCATTTTATCTCTTTGTTAGCTTGCATTTTTCTGTAAAGAAGAATTTTGTTTCTTCCACCCCTTTGAATATTACGTGGACCTCAATAATTTTTATTAATTCAATGTGTTGAAATCAGTCATTGTTGCATCTGATACATACATTACCCCAACACTGCCATCTGGAACCCCTTCTAACTGGCTCTTCCCTCCTTGACACACAGCATGGACTTTCAGTGAAAATGTCTGAGGGCAAGATAAACACATATTAAGGTCACCCCCACTGAAGTGCAAATGCTCCTTGCAGATTCTTATGCTAGAGCAGGTTTGGTTTGGGCTTGGTTTGACACCCTGTACCTGGCTTCAGGAGGGTTTGGGACAGGACTGTGAAGGAAAGAAGCAGGAAGCTGTGGCTAGACAGTTTGTGCTGTAAGGACTAAGTTCAGTTTTTCCAGTGGACAGATGGGGAAGATCATGTCAATTGGGAAAATGGATCATTTTTATCCTACATCCCTAGCATAGTAGGGATGCTTTCATGGTGACCAGATCCAAGACTGATTTGCCTTCAGATTTCCTGCTTTCTTGGAGCTTAGTGTTGGAGGTCTGGGGTTCCTGCTGTCTCTGGGTCCTTGGGTTCTGAGATGCCCTTGCTTGTCCCTGGGGATCTTTTTAGCAGGGTGCAGCTGTCTACGGGAGGTGATGTAGGTCCTGGCAGAGATAAGGGACTAGATAAAGCTGATGGACAGCTGAGCTGAAGCAAGAAATGACACTCCTATGGTCCCTCTCAAGGGGGGGTGGCAGGAGTTGAAGAATGAGCTGATAGGTAGGGGGACAGTTGACACTTCTCTTTTGACAGCTTTGATCTGCTCAGTCTCTTCTCTGGTCTTTGGACCTTTTATGACTTCCTTTCTCTGCCCTGAGCCATCTCCTGTGGTCGCCTGTCACTCTGTTGCCCTTATTCCTTGTCTCATACTGCTTGTGTGTCACTTTTCATATCCTAATCTAAAATGTCCTCTGTGTGTCCACCCATCCCCATCTAGCTGTCTGTGCATTTCCTCTTATGGACACTTGGTGGCACTATTATGCAAGATGAGAACAACATCAGGTTTGGCCAAGTTATTCAGGGGGGAAGGAGGGTGCGTGTCTATGTCTGTATCTGTCCCATATATTTTTTTCCATTAAGTTTATTGGTACATTTTAGGTATAAAATACAGTTACATTCATCATTGGGATCTTGTACCTTTACATGATGTATCGTGGT